TCACCTGTACTGTATCCTCTGTTCTGGTTACCCCTCAGGGGGACTATTTTTAGCTTTCCAGACCTGAGATAAATTGTAGTTGGGTATAACTTCCATACCATCCAATTCCATTGCAGGGAAGTTGGAGGAGGGCAGGAGAGCTTCCTTTAAAAACTGAAGAAGCTAGACTCTTCCATCCCACAACAGCTATGCACAGGCAGGTAATAATGAGGCTGGAACTGCACCCTTAATGCATTTCTAAAGCAGTCCTTTTGTAGCTAGCATATGTATGGATTCATACTGGGAGAGTAGATGTATATGCCCATATTTCAAAGTACATTACCCCAGAAAATATGGAAATTGTTCTGGAACACCTGAACCAGCATCCACACTTCTAGGATACAGAATCTTGCATTTTCCTGTACTTGCACTGTGTGTGATTCACTGAACCTTTCAATATTTTTTGCACATTAGCCTTATGGTATTTTTGCACAGAATAATCATTGTTGGAATACTATGTTCGAATGAATGGGCTTGAACAGGCACAGTGAGGAGAAAGCTACTCCAGTGGGTATTTGGTTGCATGTCCCACAAGTTATCTATTTTTTCTTCCTCTAGACAGATTTTAGAAGAAAGAGTTGATCTTTAACTACGCCACTCAAAGCTCTCCAAATTTGGTAGGCACACTCTGAGAGCCCAATGAAGCAATTCAGAGGACTGAAGTGAAGGAATGCCTGACTCCTGAATCTTGCTTGGCCTTGGGCATGGGCTTTCAGCATGGGGGAATGCACAGAGGTGCCAGAGGAACGCTTTTAAAAGACCATGTGTCTCTGGAATTTAGGTGACTCCGGGTTAGGAAACAGATGAGCAGAGTTTTGCACAGAATATAGTCTGGGATTTAGCACCCAAATTTTACATGAGCCCATGTCTGGCTTTGGAATGCCTACATATGGAGAAAAATAAAATTAACTGCTGACTTCAGTAGCAGCTGCTGTATACTCAATACTTTTGATCAGACCATTTTTACTTAGGTTCCTGAATACGGATTTATGAGCCAACCTTTAAAAATCTTGGCTGAAGTTCTTAAAAGGAATTCATTTCTCTTATACTACCCATGATGAGGCCCAAAAACTACCAATAGCTAAATTCTTTAAGAAAGCAAGAACAGCTGTACCACACTAAATCATGGGTGTACTAAGCTTGGCACCCTCCAATAATGGAAAACAGTAGATGCTTGGGGTAAAGTGTAAGAATAGGACAAGCACAGAATGGTACTTGTCCAGGATCCTCTCCAGGCAGTTCAGGGATTCCCTGTACCAGAAGTTCTGTATTTGTATTTAATTGCTGTGAGTAGATTTTTTTTCCATGAACTTGCCCAAACACTTGAACACACGTAGTTTTTTTTCCTCCACTGCATCCTGCAGCAAGGAGTTCCAAGTCTTCACTGTGCTCCATATGAAGAAGCATATATTTCTGTGCTTCTCTGAACCTGCCATCTGCCAGTTAGAGAGAAACCAAACATTTGTTACTAATTCCTTATTTACCTTTTCTTTGCCACTCAGGATTTTAGAGGCCTTTTTATTATACCTCATCAATATATCACCCAAGCTCAACATGAGTCTCTGCATGTGTACATTTTAGGCTAGAATTTGACCATGGACCTGTCTGTGCATTTATAGTAGTGTTCTAGAACCTCTACTGTTCCTATATAAACTCTTCAAAACTAATTGTATCCAAGGTAGACTTATAATGATTCAAGGAAATAAAAAAGCAGATTCTATTCATATTGGCAGCAGAGAGAGACTGAGGTTGCTGCAGGAACCATGAAAAATCCCCTTTAATTACTTTCAAGAGCTGAAAATGCCAGAGTTGAGAATTACATGAGGTTCTCGAGCAGAAGTGCGTTTAGTCTAGGCAATGCTGACTGAAGCTCAGTGCCCTGGCTTAAAGATGCTGCTGGCTACCATGGAAACTAATTGGAGCTAATAAGTAGGGAACATGCTAACTGTGGGAACAAAACAGGAGTGACTATTTCTCAATATCACAATTACCTACAATCTTGCATATTAGGATTGTCTTGAGTTACTGTCATAAAGCATTATTCACTTTGTTACAAGGCTTGTCTGAGTGGGGCCAGTCTGACCTTAGCAGGAGTTCACAGGTTTGGGAGTCAGCTTGAGAACCTGTTTTATGATGCACTATTTTAACAGTATTTCAGGTACAGCTCTTCCAGTGCAGCTTTCATTTCAGCCTTTAAAACCTAAACTCTTTGCAGATGGCAGTCTGGATAGAGGAGAAGTGGTGGAAAAGTCTGTTATAAACTGTCACAGCAAACTAAATCTGGCTGCAGAGTAGCGGTTAAATTATCCCGCAACATCAGCAGTAGCTTTTATGTGAAAACATGATCATGTGCAATGTTTGAGGGCTATTGCTAACATTGGTTTTGGAGATGAAAGTTTGCATTTCAAGTTGTTGAAGAGTCTTTGAAGATAAGTGTCTGCGTGCATGTGTCTCTGTGTACAAAACATGCAATTAGGGGTCCTTTTAACCATGTCAATTTTACACTATTGTGACTTGACAGGCGTCAGCAGAGGCATCCCTGACTTACGCAGGCATAAAAAATAACAGAACTGGGCCTGTGCATCATATGATTGCTCAGTATCTTGTTTATGTATATTTATACGCTGATATAATACACAATATTGTGTAAGCATACACACAGCGCAACATAAAATAATTGTACTGCACGTAACTGTTGTTCATGTTGGTTAGAAGTATCTAGAGGTTAAACCCTGTTGAGTTTGCATCTCATCTCACCAATATGAAATAGAGCGGTCGTGAGCTGAGCTGCATTTTAGACAATGACTCAGTACACAGGATGATACAGCACAATTCGGGGGGCTTTTTGATATTCCACATCTCTGATCGCTATACATTTTTAATGCAGAGTTACTAATACAATACTGGTAAGACATACAGCTTAAAGAGAATGCAAATGAGTTTAATAATGTCTCCAGGGCTTTCTGAGTGTGTAAGGTTATCCAGCCTGTTTACAGACCACAGTCTGCTAGAATAAAACAAAATCAAACCAAACCCTTGCCCTGAAGACATAATTGGCAATGTTAGGAATCTTATGATACCCCAGGGACGGTAGTTGCATCCCTACTTCACCACATATTATTGTCGAAAATATTGTTTAGTTGTTTATTTATCTGGAATTAGCAGATTAGGGAGTAGTGTTTTAGTGAATACGCAACATCTGTGAAAGCAGTTTCAGTTTAATAGGCTGAAACAGACACCATATAATCACTTTTCGGAAGAATTTGAGTAAACACAATTGTGACTGCAGTTTCTTCTTCTTTTTCCTTTCTTCTCCAGGTCAGCTCTGATAACAGCTAACTGGGCACAAACCACAGCTCTTTAATCTCACTTTTTATTAAATATTCACTTTGCCACTAGTGATTCAGAAATAGCCTTGTGTAAGGTATTAAAGGACAAGTAAGCCGAATCAACATTTCAAGACTCTCATATGGCTTTCATATAGCTGGGTAGAGTGTGTCTTTTCACAATTGCAAACCTTTCTTCAAGTTGGACGTTAACACTTTCAGAGTAACTTTTAATGCCGAAACGACGTTCCTCCCTTTCAGTTCAAAGAAAACACAACATCTGTCATAATGTGAAATGTAGATTTAATGCAAGTGTCAAGTCAGGCACTTGGTAATGAGGTAAAAACCCTTGGGATTTTAAGTCTCTCTTCCACGCTATCCTGTTACAGGGAGGGGAAAGGAAAGAACTGTTTCTTTGGCACTTAGCAGCTTTTCTGTGTCCCTTATCTATCCTTATCTATCCTTCCCGGACATCTTCTGTAAATTAGTGTATTTTTCCTGGCAGCGTCCCCGAGAGGGAGGAAGGTGCGATAATGCTTGCTTTGTGGCCGAGGGAAACTGAGGTACGGACTAGACACAGTCCAGACCTGCCGAGGCACTGCCCAGAGCCCCCAGTCCCGGCTTGGGGCGGGGGGGGGCGGCGGGTCCCGCGGGGAAGGGCAGCGAGCCTTCAACTCGCGGGCTGCATCCCGCAAGAAAGTCCGAGGGGGCGCGGCCGTGGCGGAAGCGGCGGGGAAGCAACAGGCTGGCGGCACCGTT